CATTCCTTTCCGGATGTTCTGTATATGATTTTTTTAAATAAAAAAATGACGGCGACCATGTTGCCCGCTAATAACATTGCCTGGGGTTGGTCTGAACGGTCTGAACCAATCACAGAACTCCTAAGAAAAGTATTTGATTTCATGTTGTGTTAACTATTATGTGCAACTGTATGCAGTCATTTGATTTTCGTCGTGTACGAACTGGTGGTCGTTGGTGAGTATGGGTTTTGATTTTATATCAACGTGTTCCTTTGGTGGATAAATTGTGCACATTTATGTGCAGTTATTGTGGTATGTTATATGCAAATTGGTAAGTATGGATTTTAATTTGATGTGAAACGGTAGTCAACGTTTACACACGAAGTTACGTGGACATGTTTGTCGTTATTTCCCTATATGATTGTGCTTACTACGGAGAATGAAATTATGATTGTATATCACATTCTGTTATGATATTTTATTCAATTGATGTTTGTATTATTACATGTTAAGCATCTCATTAGCCCAAAGAAGGTTTGTAGAATCTCAGGAAACTCTTAGTGTGCTGTGCGTTATAATTTATAATTTTTGTATTGTTTCTAGCATTGTAAATGGAAGGAAAGAAAATGTGCTCTGCCCCTGGTTGCTTGTCATCCAGTGGGCAGAAGGAAACGAAATTCTTCAACTTTCCCAGGGATTCAGCACGGTATGTTTTAATTCATGATGAAATTGTTTTATTATGTATTGTTTAATTCGAAAAAATTAAGTTTAGCCAATGTCAGCAATAAATTTATTAAACATAACCTCACAGAGCACCTGCATCATGTTTATAATGTTTGCTGATGACTTATTTCTGGGTTTTGAGATAGTATGTTGAATTCTTGCAGGGCTCTGGTATGGGCAGGAAGAGTTGGTATATCCTGCACTATTGATTCTGCAAGAATGCTGCACAATAAGTATTTGTGCAGCAGACATTTCTTAGAAAGTGATTTCACTACAGCTGAAAGGGTACACCTGAACAGTGAGGCAGTTCCATGTGGCTCAGATTCTGCTGCACAGTCACTTCGACAACCTCCTGAACCTTCATTACACATCCCTTCCTTCGATCCCTTGCCCTTAGTTTCGTCTCCTGAAGATGACCTTCATGGCTTACCTCCCACCATAACCTACAGCAAGATACTGGTGCCCTCTACTGTAACACCTGTTCCAATCCATGCAGACAGTCCTTCCACTTCCTTTCAGATGTCTGCAGTCCAGCCATCACCAACAGCAGCCAACACCTTTGCAGTGAAAGAAACCTCTTTTCCCCCAAGCTCTGTAAATGTAAGCGCTTCTGATGGGGAACTCGGGCATGTCAGTCGTCAAAGTTCTTCCTCAAAGCCTAGAGCAAAGCATTCTCTGCTAAAACTTAATTTGGCTTCGCATTCAGAATTGACACCCAGGAAAAGGAAATTATATGAACTTATTCGGAATAATGAGAGTGCACTTTGCAGACTCAAAAAGAAGTATAAGGGAATGGATTTGGAAGAGCTTTGTGAAGTGGTCAATGATCCACTGATGAAGAATCTTTCATCTTCTTTCAGTTTAGAGGCTGCCACATTTTTGGCAGCAATGTTTAGGAACTGTAGACAGATGCCTAAGGGCAAGAGATGGACTTTTGATGACAAAGTGTTGGCTCTATCTCTCCTTAAACGTTTTCCCAAATCCTATATCCTTCTCCGTACATTATTCCCTCTCCCATCCAGAGGATCCTTGCTGTCCATGCTGAATACTGTTCCATTTAGGACAGGCATCAATGCTCATGTGTTTCATGCACTCCAACAGTCTCTGCAGAAAATGTCTGATGGAAATCACTACTGTTGTCTCATGTTTGATGAAATGTCAATCAGAGAGAACTTACATTTCAATCAGAAGTTTGACTGCATTGAAGGTTTCGAGGATTGTGGAAGTTGGGGCAGGACATGCAACATCGCAAATCATGCTCTAGTTTTCATGATCCGTGGCCTACGTAGAGAGTGGAAGCAGCCAGTGGCTTACTACTTTACTCGTGGAAGCACTAAGGCAGAGGTGATTGTGCAATGCTTGGAGGAGGTTCTTGACGCCTGTCAGAACATTGGACTGAAGGTTGTTACCACTGTCTGTGACATGGGTGCTAACAACGTCAAGGCCTTGAAACTGTTGGGTGCTACTAAAAGGAAACCACTCTTCAGATTTCATAATCAAGAAATTGCAACAGTATACGACCCTTCCCACCTCCTGAAGTCTACCCGTAACCTATTCCTGAAACATGATGTGCAGTTTAAGTCTGAGCTTTTGGACAGCCAACTTCCTCTTATTGCTAAGTGGGACCACATATTGAAACTGTATGAATTTGACAGATCCATACCGATTCGTCGGTTGATCAAATTCACAGATGCCAACCTGAACCCGACTGGACAGAGCGCTATGAAAGTGCAGTTGGCTGCACATGTTATGAGCCATACTGTTGCAGCAGGCCTCAATGCTCTAGTGGATACAGGTAGGACCACTGCACTATATGCTGTGAATTTTTTCTGTTATGAAAGAATTACCTAATGAAAATAATTAGGGCTAGTTTTCAAAGTTACAAACGTCATTGTCATCATTTATGACTTATCAGTATACAAGCTACGTAGAATATGTCGCAAATGGCTCAGTCTTTAGAGTAATTAAAAATGTTTGAAAAGCAAATGGCAGTATCAGTAATATGATTTTGAGAGAAGGAGATGACAACGTTACTGTGAGGAATAATGTACTCAGATGTACAAAATGTTTTATAACAGTCCAGTGTAATGTAATATGTGTTGTTTTCCAATGTAAAGAAATACGGTAGTCCACCATGTAAGGAAGTGCACTAATTTTTTTTTTTTATGTTTAGGTTATTTTGGCAGTGAATACATGGCAACAGCTGTGTTTGTTAAGGAGGTTGACAACCTCATTGACAGTTTCAATAGTGGAATGCGGGTTAGACCAGAAAAAACACTGCGTTACCCACTTAGTGATAAGAGTCCCCATATAAAGCACTGGAAAAAGGCAAGTATGGGGATAAAGAGTTGGATCTTCCTCAAGGATGGTAAACCTGCCTTCCTTCATCCTCCTCCTTCACAGAATGGGTGGCTAGTTGACATCACTGCTGCCCAGCATGTGTGGAGGACATTGAAAAAGGCAGGTTTTGAGTACTTTCACACCAAAAACCTGAATCAGGATCCCCTTGAGAACACATTTGGGGCCATTCGTTCGTGCTGTGGTTCGAACAATGACCCAACTGTGGGACAGTTTGTAGATGCCCTGAAGACTAGCATCATCAGTGGCTTTGATGTTGTAGGTGTGTGTGAAAGTAATTGTGAGGATGATGGTGCTGCTCTTCTGGATAACCTACAATCGTTCCTCAGGGAACCTGATGCTGCTTCACAAAAACCTTCCACAAGTCATGGCAAGGAAACCTCTGATGATGTTCCTGAGAGTTTCCATGTTGCTCAGCAACTACACAAGGACATTGGTGCTACAGTAGATGCTGGTAACATGAAAGTGTTCTCAGTGGCCTATGTCAGTGGTTCCATTGCCAGACAGGTGCTTCATGGTGTCAGCTGTGATGCATGCAAGACATGCCTGACATCCGAGGTGCTGCCATCAGCCAGTGTCTTCATACATTTCAAGGAGTGCAGTGACACAGAACAGTCTCTCACATGTCCTTCTGAGAAGCTTGTGGAGACTGTTGGTGTTGCTGTAACCCTAATGGAGTCTATGATGGCAGAGGTGGCCCACTTGAATTCAGTGGAGCAGCATATCACAGCTGCCATTATGAAGAGCATAGACTTTGAATGGATTAGGTGTACTGGCTGTTCACTTCACTACCAACGAATAGTAGATGGTATTGTGAGATGTCTCACAAGAATTTACATTCCTTGGTGGTGTAAGCGAGCAAACAGGTTGATGACTGAAGCAGCCAGGCAGAGGGCCACAAAGAGGAAGATGGAAATCCTGTCACATCAATAAGTCATTAGGAAAGTAATGCTTCTTCATTTTTGCAATGTATCGTCCTGCCCATACCAGATGCTGGAAGTTGGTAGAAAATAGTTTGGGAGAATATCTGTGCCAACTACTCACATGAGCATCGTTAGAGAAGTTGGAATTAGTAACCCTGGTGACTAGCAAGTGCAGTGCAGCAACAGAAACTACCATGCATTTACATGCCTTCTTTTCTCAAACCTCTTGGCATTGCATACTTTGTTGATAATGTCATTGTCATGTACCTCAGAGATTATGTACAAGAAACCTATTGTGAATTTGAGAACCATCTCTTCACTGCTTTGCAGACGTTTCTTTCATCTAATCTTATTAGAACTTGGCTTTCAGAAGACGGTCAGAGTTCAGTCTGCTCTTTATCTTGGAGTGATTATATTTCTGTTCAGAAATGTAAAGGAAATTGTTTCCTGACGCACATTGTTTTAGTTCACATATAGGTAAGAATGAAGTGGCATTACTTTATAATGACTTGAAATGTTCCGGTTATCTGCTTCAGCTTGAAACACTGAGGAGCAGAACCAATAGCAGGACTCACTGTGTATTTTGTACTTAAAGTTTATTATATATTTCGTAGGTAAGAAGTTGTAGTTAATAGTGTTTATATACTACAGTCAGCTATTATTTTGGGTATATTATTCAGCTGTTTTATTATTATGGATATATTCCTTCAATTATTATATTGGCCATATTATTCTGTTCAGTATTCAACTTTTGAATATGTATATATATTTTCAGTTTTCAAGATTCATTATATTCAATTATTATTTTGGCCATATTATTCTGTTCAGTATTGAACATAGAAACATGAGAATAAGGTTTGGCATAATTTGCAGTTATTCATTTTTATATATTATTAAATTCAATCTTAATATTGATAGCAAGAGTGTAGTTCAGATTCTCGAGTTTCATCTCACCACAGAAATTAATAATGAATGGAAACCTCAGTAATGTAACTTGCTCTACATGATTTATAATACATAGATAAGTTCACAGTCATGTTAAATAATGAATTATGGGAAGAAATTTGTTTGGAAAAGAATGTAAATGAACCATATCTACTACTTATAAATAAGTTTTTATATTATTTTAGTAGATAATTTCCATTGAAACAAAGAATGAAGAGAGAGATTAAGAATAATTAATGGATATCTAGAGGAATAGAAGTTTCATGTCAGAAAATGAGGTTTTTAAATAATCTAAAGTATAGGATGTCACTGTCAAGGGTTGCATTGAGTTATATTAACAGATATCACAGAATTTATAAAAGAGTTATGTTAGGAGCTAAAAAGAGAATGGCAAACAAATGGTAAGTGCTTCAAACCCAACTAAAATGATGTGGCAGTTAATAAAACAGAAATCATATCGGGATATTTGGTTACAAAATAATTTAAAGAAAGTAACTGACCCTCAGAAGGTGGCCGATATATTATATTCATACTTTATTGATAAGGTAGAAGAACTAGTGGAGGAAAATAGGAGTAAAGGTAGTGGTAGATCACTACGAAGAGTAGTGGACTGCAACCCAAGCTCTATGTATTTTCCGATTTCTGAACAAGAAATTGTTACAGTAGTATCCGGATTAAAAGACTAAGGTTCTGCAGGATTTGATGAAATTCCTGTTTTTCTAGTAGAAGCGTGTAGTACATGTATAAAAGAACCACTTAATTTCATATTTAATCCATAAATCAGGGTGTATTTCCAGATTTATTGAAGACTGAAAAAATTAGGCCTGTTTATAAAAAGGGTAATAGACATGAAATTAGTAATTACAGACCTATATCTGTTATATCTATATTCTCAAAAATAAAAAAAAAGTGTATAACAGATTTGGTTAATATTTTATCTCTCACTGCGTTCTCAGTATGTAGGAATAACCTCTAATGACAATAGGTATTCTGTGAACAGGTACAATTCTACACTGAGGAATGTAAAACTCGAAATACCCCAAGGGTCTATTTGGGTCCACTCCAATTTTTATTATTATAAATGATTTACTCCATCACACATCAAATGGAGAAGTGGTTCTTTTTGCAGATTATACCAATATACTGGTAATAGATAAGAATAAATTTACGCTCCCAAGAAAGAATAAAAAGAGTGATGATCCAACCAGAATCTTGGTTTTCAAAAAATAACTTGGTTATAAATGCTGATAAGACCAAAGCAACGCTATTCCAATTAAATAAACCATATGACATACCAGAGTCAGTTATCATTTTCAAAAATATAAAAATTATTATATACCACAGTTCAGATTTTTAGATATAAATGTATCACATAATCTAAAATGGAGCTCACATACTCAGTCCTTGTGATTATAATTGAATAAGGCATATTACATTATTAAATCTTGAAAGTTGCTGTGAGTTTATATATACTTTGCCAAATTTCAATCATTGGTTTGATTTTTTGGGGTGGAGAAAGCGAAAATAGTAAAGAACTGGAAATACAAAAAAGGATACTTCGCTTAATGAAAGCTGTAAATAGCAGAACATCGTGCAGACTTATTTTTAAGGAATAAGTCTTTATCTCTCTGTATATCTTTGAGGTGTTGTGCTGTTTTATTATTCTATGAGAAATTCAGATTTATGTGACTATAATACTAGAAGGAAAGATGATTTCCATGTGCCAAATTGTAACAAATCAGCTTTTTAGAAAAGAGTTATCAATATGGGTATTAAATTGTATAATAGACTGCCTTTTGAATTAAGAAACTCAGATGGATATAAAGACTTTAAACATAAGCTAAAAGTATTTTTACTCGATCATCCATTCTGTGCATTGTACGAATTTCTCTTAGAGGGACAGTAGTAAGCATAGCAAAACCTCTATTCAGCAATTGAAATGGATAACAAATGGTTGCTTATAGTATCTTAATGTGATCAGTGATTGACATGGTCATATATAGGACACTTGATTTACTGTAACACTCAAGGCTGCGCCATAGATCAAGTGGTTAGTCGCTGGCTTCCTACCGTGGCAGCCCAGGTTCAATCCTGGGTCTGGTCAAGTGGGATTTGTGGTGGACAAAGTGGTACTGGGGAAAGTTTTCTCTGAGTACTTTGGTTTCCCTTGCCAATCTTCATTCCACCAATTGCTCCATGATCACCCTCACCTATCATCTGGGGCTGGCACAATATGCCAGAAGTGGTCGCAGTACATGGGACTTAGTCCCACCCCATTTGCAATAAAAAAAATACTGTAATACTCTTAAAATTCTCTCGATAAACTCATAAGGTTAACTTGCATTTTGATTTACGTGTTGTATCTAATTTATTATCTGGTTTGATAGTGTTCATTATACTTTAATTGTATGTTAATCATGTCAAGAATGATTATTTATTGTTGACAAATTGTAATTGTTTAGGCATTTGGCAAAAGGATTTCAAGAATGATGTATGAGGTCTGACCAAACAGTATCCGACTATTTTTTCCCGCTATAAGTAATGGCAAAAGGGTGGGGAAACAGCATAGTATTAGGAGGGACTTTCATGTGCATGCGTGATTTTTTTGCTGCCTCGCAACACCGCCGGATGCATCTCACTGCCAGATAGTGAACTGGGGTAACATGTGTTCATTTCTTTCACATTTCACTCAAGGTGACAGAACACTTGGAGCAGCGATACTGCATCAAATTTTATCAGAAACTTGGGGATACCCCAGCAGAAAAAATCTGCAAAATTCAGGCTTTTGACAATGATTGGGGGTCACTCAAAGTGTGGTTCAACCGCTTTAAAGATGGCTACATGTCAGTGGACAGTGACCAGCGTTATGGGAAACTGTCAGCGAGCCAAAATGCTGATGTCGTTGACAAAGTGCGGGCATTTATCATGGAGGACCGTCCAGGAAGTTGCTGATGAGGTTGGGGATCATCAGAGGTTCTGCAAACAATTTTAACTGAGAATATGGGCATGCGAAGTGGCAGCAAAATTTGTGCCCAAGCTGCTTTCACTGGAGCACCAACAACTCTGCCTTGAGGTCACACAGGACATGCTTGAGTGTGCCAGCAGGGATCCCGAGTTCCTGAAGATTGTGATCACTGGTGACAAGTTGTGGTTTTACGGATATGACCCGGAAACCAAGGTCCAGTCTTCACAGTGGAAGCATCCAACATTCCCGAGGACCAAAAAAGCACAACAGGTGCGGAGCAATATGAAGGTGATACTGACTTTTTTTTTTATTACTGGGGTGTTACACATCATGAATACACACCACTAGGCCAAACTATCAGTAAGGAGTACTACCAAGAAGTCCATCATTTTCATCATGCAGCTCAGTGCAAGAGACTGGTGCTGTGGGACACATACAACTGGCAGCTGCATCATGACAATGCTCCAGCTCATTCATCACACTTGATCCAGGTTTTCCTAGCCAAGCACGGTATTCCACAGGTTCGTCAGGCTCCTTACTCTCCTGACATGGCTCCTTGTGATTTCTGGCCTTTCCTGAGATTGAGGACAGCACTAAAATTCATCATTTTGACAGCCCCGAGTACATCATACAGAACATGACAGTGCAGCCGTATGCCATTTCAAAAGAAGCCTTACAGAGATGGAAGGACCACTGGGCTGTGTGGAGTCACAAGTGGCCTACTTTGAAGGGGATTAGGTATTGTAACCAGCCGGATAAAGAACTTTGTTTTTCCAGCCCAAGGTCGGATACTTTTTGGACAGAGAGGTATTTAATGATGTGACTTGTTCAAGTGTTACCGTTGTAGCAATTATGAATGCCAAATAAAATGAATGAATTAATGTAGCCAGAAAGCTATGTTTTGCTTTTGGCTGTAAGTTGTAAGCAGAGTTATGAAGTTTAATACAAGTATCTGATGGAAACAGAATTTTCTTTCAAGTTTACTCACCTTCAGTTTTTCTGAACACAAGTATTCTGTGTAATATAGTTCACCGTGTCCATTGCATTGCAGCAATGTGGTGTTGGATTGATGTAAATGAAATGTTCATGCTTTACAGCCACTGGTGAGAAACTTTCTCCTGATGGATATGAGTGAAGTGATATTAAACTCAGTTCCAAGAGAAAAAAAGAACACTGGAGTAAGAACCTCTCCAGTACAAGATATCAGGTTGCAAAATTATTTGTTGCTGATGTAGGGGAGCCGGGATAGCACAGTTGGTATAGTGACTGACTACAGGCTGGATGATTGAGGGGTTGGAGTTCCAAGTCCCAGTAGGGTCAAAAATTTTCTCCACATCTCCACCAGCTCTGGGGCCCACCCAGCCTTCTATCCAATGGGTATGGGGGTCTCCTTACCTGAGGGGCAGGATATTAGCTCTTTCTAACGGGCCCACCCAAGTAGGTGTCCTCCTTTCTCACCTGAAGACGGAAACAGATCTAGTTTCTGAAATGTCGTGTCCTCTATTACCTACAATTCTGGATGATGGAAAGGTCCAAAAACCCAGTAATTCTGTGTCATCCATCATCATCAGAACCCTTTCGAATGTCATTTATTCCTCTACACAGATCTCTGATGATCTTGTTCTTATTGTTCACTGCATATATAAGAATGGCCTAGGCAATCTTTACCACATGCTTATAAACATCCTATCGTATCATAACTTCTTGGGCTTCTACAGTTCCACTGCACAACCTTACATTGATTCCCATTAAATTTTGCTGTAACATTGCTCGTGAAGCTCGATGGCTTTCCCAAGGTGTCTTACCACTGCTTTAGCATCCCACAGTTCATCGCTAAGTCGGTTATCATCACCTATATGTTCTTGACTTCGTCCTCAATCTGAATGGACTTCAGCTCGTATAAGATATCTCTAGCAGTGTCTGGTCTTTTGAACTGTCCCTCTTCTCTACATTGCTTTGACTTGATTCAGATATTTGAGTCGTTATCCGTGGTCCATCAGCTCAGAAAGCATGATCGGCAAAAAGGTATACTATGATATCACCGGCCTGTGTGTACTGCCCCCCCCCAAAAAAACCTCTAGGTCATAATAAGGTAACCCTGTGCTTAACTGCTTAGGCACTACACCATGAAGGCATATAGTGGAGTGGATGTATAGATCTGTATTTTCTTGACCTGGGCACTAGTTGGAGATCTTCACGCCCTGGCTGATTAGTAATTATTGGGGGATATCACTGCTATCAACTTCATACAAAATTTATCCAATATTTTTCTCTCAAGGTTAAGTCCATACATTGATGAAATTACTGGGGATTATCAGTGTGGGTTTCCGCGTAACAGATCAACTACAGATCGAGAGATACTGGAGAAAAAATTGGAGTACAGTGAGAGAGTACATCGCCTATTTGTAGACTTCAAGAAAGCCTATGATTCAGTTCAGAGAGAAGTATTGTACAATATTCTGATAAGAGTTTGGGGTACCCATGAAACTAGTTAGGGTGATTAGAATGTGTTTAAACGAAACATGATAAAGTCCATACAGGTAAACATTTGTCTGAGACGCTTTATTGCCACTCCTTTTCAAGTTTGCTTTAGAATATGCCATTATGAAGGTCCAGGAAAACCAGCTGGGACTGAAATTAAATTGGACACATCAGTTATTGGGCTGTTCTGATGATGTGAATCTACTGGGTGTTAATATAAATACCATAAAGAAAAACACACAAACTTTAATTGATGCAATTAAGGAGGTTGGTCTAGAAGTACACACACAGAAAACTAAGTATATGTTACTGTTTCCTCACCAGAATGCAGGACAAAATCATAAGAAAGATGGGAAACATATTTTGAAAATGTGGCACAGTTCAGATATTGGGGAACGACAATAACAAATCAAAACCTGATTAAGGAAGAAATTAAGAGGAGACTGAACTCTGGTAATGCTTGCTACCTTTCAGTCCAGAACCTTTTGTCTTCTGTCCAAGAACATAAAATTAGAATATACAAAATTTTAATTTTGCCTGTGGTTCTGTATGGGTGTGAAACTTTGTGTCTGACATTAAGGGAGGAACATAGACTGAGGCTGTTTGAGAACAGGGTGTTGACAAGAATATTTGGACGAACTGTTTCTGTCAAAACACCAAAAGGGATAGAAGAGAAAGTTACTTTGAAAGGTACTACAAAAATGGCTTGTCTCTGTGGTTCCCATGAGATAAAAATGAACTGCCATGCCTTCCTGTCAGTACCTGTATGAGAGAGTAGGCCACTCCAGTCTTAAAGGAATCTTAAGAATATAAAACTGTGTCCACAGCTGAATGTGAATATGATGACAGGTTACAAACAGAGGAACATATCTTCTGGGATTGTAAAGTGTATGAAAACCAAATGGCATTATGTCTGAGGACATTGAAGGAGAATACCCAAGGCCATAGATTTACATACATGGACCACCACAACCACACAAGCAGGGGGTATGTATGATAACTACATCAATATTTGGAGAGTTATCCAAACAGAAAATTTACTCAATGGTGTTTGGATAAAAAGATGAGGCCCCCCAAGCAAAATATTGAAAAATCTTAAGTAGACTTGTTGATTTTAATGGAGTCCATTATTTTAAATTAGGATACATCGCTTTCAAATGTGATAGAAGTGAGACAGAACACAGTGAAACAGCTTTTGGCAAAAGAAAAAAGAAAGAAAGCACCTGATAATGGCCATGTACAGCCGAAACATGTGAAAGTGAAAAAGAGGAGGAAACACATAGGTTGCATTGTTGATGAAAATAGTATAGTTTATGAAGAATATATCATTGCAACAGGATGCTTAAATACAATATTATGAGAATACCCAAAGTCAGCTTTTAGGGGTAGAAGAAAAAAGATTTGTGCAATGTGTGTGTAACTTCATAAACATTTTTTTCTTTTTTTTTTATAACAAGTAAGTGTACAAAATATTAATAGCATACTCTTGGAGTTAAGAGAGATGTTCAAAAATTTCGGGGTGACCATTATGATAGGATAAGTCGTTTACAAGAATGTACTGCAGAGGGCTGGATGGGCATTGCCTGTGTCATTTATATATATATATATCTGTCTGTCTGTCTGAATTGTTTTACCCCCCAAATTTTAATATGTGGAATTAATCACATAACGCTCCTGCTTCAAAATTAATGTAACTGGATGTTAAATACAATATTCATGGTGTTAGTTAAGGTTCTACATATTGTTTCAGTTATGTTATTCCAGTCATTATTATACTTGTAATATATTACTTTCAATATTCATCTTGTTAACAAGAGTATATTTCCTATTCTGGAGTTTCATCATACTATTGCAACCAAAAATATGTGGAAACCTCAGTATTATTGTTTGCTATACATAGTTTATAATACATTACTGTAACTGAGATGCTATATTTTATGTGGCTTTCAAGTGTAAGTTGTGAACAAAGTTATGAGGTTTAATACAAATGCCTCTGATGGAAACACTTTTCATTCAGAATTCCCTAACTGCAGCTTTGGTAAACACTTGTGATCATGTGTCCTATCTATGTTATGGTTTACAGTGTCCAATGCATCACCATAACGGTATGTTGGATTGCAGTAAATGAAACGTTCATTGCTGAGAAAATGTATCATTGCTCCTGGTAGATGATTGAAATGACAGTAATTAGCCACGTTTCTAAAAACGGAGTAAGAAGCGCTGCTGTAGGTCAGCGTAGCAAAGTTAATCAGTTTTCTATAAGTTCAGGATTCCGTTGGCGTAGTATGTGGAGGTAATTAGAGAGAATAGTAGCCATCCTTTTTATCGACTGAGCTCTCGGCAATGGCTGCGAAATTTTGCAACGATAGCATGATCATTACAAGTTAGATGGCAGCATAAAGCAACTGTAATGTAACGGTGTCCAACTCGCCAGGTACATTGAGTTACACTCGGCCAGAAACAGTTCTAAATAGTCTCTGAGGTCTCTGAGAATGCTTATGTCGAAGTTAAGGGTTATTTCGGTGGATTTGTGAAAAGTGGGCAGTTTGTGTGGTATAGACTCTTGGAAGTGTAGTGATGTACATTTAACTGAGTTAAGAAAGCATTGTTATTAAGTATGTTTCGTACAAAAAAGGACGTGGATCGTCATGTCCAAGACGTAATGCGAAAGCTGAAAAGTGAGAATGAGGTGAGTTCCGCCATTTCAGAATTCGGTACGACATTTGAATTTGATACTGAAATCCATAAGTACCTTAGTTTAAGAAAGATTATAAGCAGTGTTTGTTTCGGTGTTTGAGGTGTCGTGTGCGCAAACTATGTCTTACACACACGAATCAGTTGTGCATATACTTAGTCGGTACGATGCCGGTATCCCTCTCCCCTCCCCTCTTTTTCAGATGTCATATTGCACAAGTTTGCAGTCTTTACAATATTCATTTTTTCTTTCCCTGTATCTCCATATATATAAAGTACATATGCAGTGTTAAGACGAAATTAAATAAACAGAATGTCATTATTTAGGAGACTTACTCGAAACGAAAATTTACTGTGATACTTGAATACAGGCGTCAGTCTACTTTTGTCCCAGAAAAGAACGGTTATGTGTTTTCCCCGTAGTTACTGTTTCTGACTCACACTTGTATGTTTAGTTTTCCACAATATTTTTTAGTTAAAGTAAGAAACACGTAACATACTGGGAATTTTAGTAAGTTGTGAGAAAAGCCTATTCAAAGATATTACTTTGTTAGTGAAATTGGAGATCATACTTAGCTGTGTATGGTTGAAACACATAAACTGTAACTGGTTTCAGCTGCTTTCAGATCGTCATATACCGTGTAGGAAACTAGAAAACTGTCCACAACTCCCAGATTTAACAGACAAGGCGTTTTAATTGGAACTGGAAGTGAAGGAGTGGATACCAATGAGAGACAGTTTTTGATTAGCTTAATATTGGTTCAGTTGTAGTGCCTACATTCATTCATTCTGCTATTCACGATGATCAAGTATCATACCATGGTGTTTTATAGTTCCAGTGAAAGTGGTTACAAATTCATTAAGTTGTCATTACCATGAAAATGAAGTACATGAAGTAATTCATGTGATACTACTGAAAGTTATATACTTGAAGGTGTTTGACAGTTGCCTTCTTTCTTTGCCTGTCACACATGAACTGGCCTAATTGTGTTTGAATGCCACTGTGATTATTGCATGTGTGCATACATGGTAATTGTCATTTATTATGAATTGGAAATACACTGATGTTAATGACACCATGTGACCTAATTAAGCATGAGAATATGCATACTGGTTGGGGGAGAGACAGATACCGTCTATATGCAAAACCCTTTCTGAAAATAGATGACTGTCATGCTGGGTAGTAATTGGAAATCTTCAGTTCTTTACATCAGTGAATCTCTCCATTTTTCAAATTCACGGTGTGCTAAAACAAAATTATTTTTACTGTCTTATAATTCCCACCGTGGCGGCCTGGGTTCGATCCCTGGTCTGGTCAAGCGGGATTTGTGGTGAACAAAGTGGCGCTGGGGCAGGTTTTCTCCAAGTGCTTCAGTTTATCCTGCCTATCTTCATTCCACCAATTGCTGCACAATCACCCTCACCTATCATCTGGGGCTGGTACAATAGGCCAGAAGTGGCCGCAGCACAAGGGACTTAGTCCCACCCCACTAGCAATAAAAAAAATACTGTCTTATATACAGATATTAAAGTAGAGTAAAGCAAAAGTAAAGCTATCCCTGTTCCAGGCCGTGAAGGCCCATAGGGTTGTGAGACGTTTAGGGTCCCACACTATCTAGACAATCTGCTCAAAGATGGCGGTAAGGTTGTCAGCCTTATGTGCCGGCCGCACTTTACTCCCCAGGAGAATTATTTAATTAATTCCTGGTACACATTTCTGTTAGAGGCTGAGTAAACCCCGGGGCCTAGTGCGGCTGGAAGGATTATGAATACTGTTGTATATAAACATGATCATTTAAAACCAGGTGCTCTGAATGGAGTCCAATCATAATATCTAGTATTGAAAAAAAAAACAAAGTACAGGATTTTCAAGAAGCCCATCTAAATAAGCCTTTTTCATGAAAATGATGACAGCTGATACAGAGGCTATTGGTGGCAGATCTCTTTCTCTGTTGATTTAGTACTGTGTGCACACAGCACATTCAGTGGTCTGTCAGCATGTTGTTATAATCTCGTGCAGTAGCGCGCACAGTACTCGGCCATTGTGAAATGTGGTTTTCCTCAGGCCCTGCAACAAAATCCTGGGATAATACCTCAGAACAGGTCTTAATCACTTCCTTCACAGTCCTTTCCAGTTCATTATTTACTAATCATTGTAACATGCAGTAGTATACAACAGTACACGATAATGACAAAAATCATGTAAACCATAAGTAATATGTGGTGTTTGAGAAAGGCATGAAAAAAAGGAAAAATTTGTGTATGGAAAAATATGATACAGAAAACGATTTCATCCTTCAGTAGGTTGAAGTTTGAAGTTTTGCTTGTATTGATATCAGTGGTTGCACATGTGCCATCCCCTTAAATCTTAGTAGTCATGGTAACAGTTCGGCAGAAGGTGAATTGCGTTTTGTGGCTCATGGACTTAAAATACAGTACATGCATTCAGTATATGTTCTACTTAGCACATGGAGGTTTATCATCAAGCTACAACTTCGATAAGAAATGGGATAGACATCTGAGAGAGGCTGGAAGTAGTATAAATCAGACATCATCAGGACATCCATTGAAGACAAAGGGAAAATTACGTGTGCATTTCTATGTAGCGTATGCAAGGCGATTCAGACAGCAAGCAGGCATCTTCCCCACTCCAGAGTTCATGATGATGTACACATACGTGTTTACATGCATACAAACTGCAGTTGCATGAGCACATCAAACCAGCCAACTGTGACTGTAGAAATAGATTTTGTGAGGAAATTCTGCAGAAAATTGACGGTGATGAGGTTTCACTGGACTCTATATGTCTTTCTGATGAGACAGTATTCCATTTGAAAGATATTGTGAACAGACATAGCTGCAGAATTGTGGATAGTCAGCCACCTAAAGATATTATCAAATATCAGAGGGACACACCAAAGGTTAATGTGTGGTGTGTCATTATGAAAGATGACAACATTGGACCTTTTTTCATTAAGGAAGCAACCGTGACAAATCATTTGTACCTATAAATGTTAGAACACTACACAGTGCCACAGTTGCCTTGTGATGCATGGATACAGCAGGATGGAGTGCCCCCATATTTGGAAACATCCGTCAGTTTTTAAACAAATGCTTTCGCAACAAGTGGATTCGAAGAGGCAGTTTCATGGCATGGCTCCCAAGATCACCAGACCTAACACCACTGGACTTTTTCCTCTTGGGTTGTTTGAAGAATATCGTCTGTCAGGAGAAAATTGCAGATCTCTGAACTCTGCAGCATTGCATATCAGAGGCAGTTGCAGCAGTGACCAAAATTGTACTTGTGAATGCGTGGCATGAGATTGAATGTCATGGTGCTGACGTTAAAACTAAATAGGTGGCAAAAAAGCTTTCAGATTTGTGCTGCTAAATTATGAGATCACTTCTTATGTATAATAAATATTTTTCCATATACATATTGTCTCTAATGTCTTTCCCAAGTACCATGTATATGTAATGAACAGTACAGACATCACATATGCATGCCACATACATGTGAAACTTCATACAACACACCAGACACAACAAAAGATAACCTGTGTACACAGACCACAAACCACAGGCCACAGTGCAAAACATATACACATGCACACCACACAGCACACAAGTTACATCCACCAGACATGCATGTACTCTATATGTCCATTGTATACCTTACACACATAGTGCACACTACATTCAGCACTGTGCATGCATTCCATATACATGTGCAACAGACAATGTGTACACCACAAGCAACACACCACACTCACATTGTACTGTATATTTACTCATCACACATCAGACACAACCAGCACACACGACACAAAATGCATACAATTCATACCATTCACAGGCCAAATACATCACACTTGTCACGCTGTATACAGTACACATATAACATGTATACATGCTGCCCATACCACACATGCCATGCAGACACATTACACAGCACAAAGACAATGTGCATTGCACAGATAGATGCCACACATGAAATACTCTGCTGCAGATACCACAGAGATATTGCAGACACAAACACATGTTCAGCAGATGCCAGAAATGCCAGTCATGAGTGTAATAAATGTCAAAATTACAAAGCTATGAGTGTTTCTATGTATGTTTCTGTAGATTAATGCAGTTTCTTAATTCATCTAGTTTATATTTTAATATGTTTTCTTATTTTTCTTTTATTTCAGAGAAATTTGCGTTGCTACAATATTGCCAAGTTGTATTTTATGTTAGGAGAATATGAATTGACTAGGCGATATGTGTCAAATTATCTGACTGTTCGTGAGGATTCAGCCAGTGCGCATAAGCTCCTGGGACAGGCATTAGAGAACCTTGGGCAAAAGGAAAAGGCCTTAGCTCAGTACAAATGTTCTCTTGAACTGGAGAGTAAGCAGCAGGATTTGGTATTGAAAGGTAAAGATAATTGGACCAGGTTTTGATATTGAAGGGTAAGGTAAACTACCTCATCCTTCAAGGTTACAGATATTATCCTCACAAATTCATGTACTAGTATACGTAAGTTTTGGGATTGTTTTATTTCAATATACTGTATGGAAGAAATGTAGATCATCCCAGTCTTCTGTGGTGTGATGGGTAGTTAAGTAGATAGGTACCAGTGTTGCAGAAGAATGCATTGCCTCCATCTTCAGAGTTGATGTCTGTCAACCTACATGACATATTTGCATAGTAACATGTGAGAACCTTATATTTCGAAGTCATGGCTGCTTGGAAGTCATTCCTTGTTGCTGCACATCTATAATAGACCATTTTAGATTGGAGCTTTTTCTAAATGTGTGAAATTTTGAAGAGGTTACTGTTGTGTGTGTCAAGAGTTTGTTATTGGTATGTGTCATGTGTTCTTGTGGTTTCATAGAAAGGCCTGTTTATCATTGTGGTTTTTTGAAGTTGCTGATACTTTCAGTACTTAACACCTGAATGCAATTTTGCATGGAGTTAAGCATATTTAGTTAGTGAAGCTGCTTTTATATTTTGATTAGATCAATTTGTCATAGGTTAGAATTTTTACACTCACTTTGCATCTGGAATGCCTAGGATGTGTCTTTCCTCCGAAAACAGTTTCCAGTACAGTTAGTTGCATGTGAGTGTTAGCACTTAAGTCTAATAATATTCCTGTAGTCAGGGAATGTATGGAATTCACTTTTTAAATTTTGATTGTCTTTGTTATTTCATAACTGTTTGTAGTAAAATAACTCCTAATATTGAAGAAAGCAGTCTTCTGGGATTTGGCACCGTGTATATGTGGTGTTAACCGACGTTTCGGAGGAACGTATCGCCTCCATCTTCAGGGTAGAAGAAAAAATATAAGAAATCTGCAAGCGAAGAGACCGTGAGAACCGGTAAAAGCAGATCTTTTATATTTTTTCTTCTACCCTGAAGATGGAGGCGATACGTTCCTCCGAAACGTCAGTTAACACCACATATACACGGTGCCAAATCCCAGAAGACTGATTTCTTCATAGTCACCACCGTGAAAGCCTCAAATCTTACAACTCCTAATATTGTTTGGTAAAAGCACTTTTTTCATAGGAGGCATAATGGTTTGTTTAAATACATTGTGTGATAATAGGTTTTCTAGCCTTGGTGGGAGTTACTATGGAATGAGTCTTCCTGTGGAATATCTATGCAAGGAGTGATAAGTATAAAGTAAGGAGCATATTCTGGCATAAATTTCGTTGTGTTACAATTCCAAATAGAAGTATTATTCAGACAGTCAGAAATAAAATGAGACATAGAGTCATTATTGGACAAAAAAGAGCTGATTCAAAATGTGGTGTGCTCATTGAAGAGAAATTGGATGAAATCTGTGCTAGGCTTGAACATTCTTCTCAGAAATCCCCAGGATGCTTGTGTAGGAGACCAGGTTTAACGAATGTTTTCACAAACTGCTACCATCTTCAGAAAATAAAACCATGTAAGACCTCAGTAGTCAGTATGTAATGTGTAAGGTTGCTTCATGGTGTTTTTGAACAGCATTAAAAAGAAATTGTGTTGTGTGTAGGGTCTTTGGTTGCGAAGTTTGCTGCCAGAGTGTCTGTATTGACACAGGTGCCTGAGTGGCTGAATGATTTTCAGGTGGCTTGCAGATGATTGCAATGTGTAAGAGTGCATCATTGACTGAATACAATTTTCTTAAATATGGTACAGAGATTGTTACTAAAATTTATTAATGAAATACAGTTTTGATTTGTTTGGGTTACATTTTACATGAACTGTTTAATGTGTGTGTTTGTGTATGTGCATGTGTAAGTATGTACATATTCTTGTAGCGTATGAGGTTTCCAGAGAGCTCTGCTTCCTGCCTGCTTTATGCTGGTTTCTAGCTTGGTTTATTCATGCTTCAGAAGATAGAACTGTTTATGAAACTTACTAGTCTGTCCAGTCAGTATCCTTACTCTTCGCGTCTGTAAATAATTCTTTTTTTCAGTATGTGAGCTGCTAGTAGATAGTGAAGCTCCACTTGATGTTGGAAGAGCTCGCTATTGGTGCGAAAGGGCTGAACAGTTGTTTCCACATCATCCAACAGTATTCAGACTGAAGGAGCATCTTTTGACTGCAGATGGAGAGGAAGATGCTGCAGAATTAGAGGCCCTTATTGCTTGTAAGTTGTAATTACAGGTACTTGTTTTATAGAAGTTTTAAAATGTTATTAGGTTTTGATGTGCTCAACTAATAGCCCTTGCTTGAATGCAGATTTCTTCCTATCCAATCAATAGAGGTGGGGAAGGGGTGGCAGGTGTTGGATAAGTGTATTAGTAAGGAGGAAGAATGCAAGTGGAAAAGGGAAAATTTGTCCTAGCCACACTGCCTTTTCTACACATTGCTATTGTCACTTGTTGAGGGCATAAGGACATCTTAAGTAAAATATTTGTTTTCTTTTGAGTGTCTTTGCACACTAAATAGTCCTGTGCTTTATTTCATCATTGACTCTCAAAAAACTATTCTATAATAATTTTTTTGGTTGGGGGGGACGGTGCCAGTGTTCGAACATCTTGGCAAGTGATTTTCTACTCTGTTGTTGCAGGTTTTCTGTTCACATTGCTGGGACATAATTAATGCCATCCCATTTCTTAGCAGTGTTTAGTATGCCTTTTCAAACTAAATATGTAATTACATACAATTTATTTGTACTAAAATTGCATAAATATTATTGAAACAACAAAAAGGATGTACTGTACTGTACTAGACAACCAGTCTGAGTAAAAGCAAAAATATTCTGATTCTTTTTGTAGCAGATCTCAGACATTTCCATTGATTCTAATGGGGCAGTTGTGTTAGATTTATTTCATTTCACCATCCGTGACTTTTTCTTGGAACACAACTGTTGTACAAATGGAAATAAATCTTTACATTTTATGAAACAGTAGTTTTGTTATGCAGTTATTCAATTTATGATAATTAGTACCATTGCATATATTAACAGCAGTTTAATCTTGCAGGTTACTCAGTTTTGAATGTTGAAGTTGTCAGACAGTATGCATCCTTATGTGATGAGATACTGAATGTTCCCTTCCTGGTGGCTAGTATGAACTGCTTCCAGATGATTTGATGTAAATTTCTTCCCAGTGACTGGTGTGCATGCAGCTTCCTTTTTTCATTTCTCTCTGATTGCAGTCAGTTTATTGTGATAAGGCAGTGATGACACACATTATGAGCTATTCTAGGTGCAATCATGAAAAGTCATAAAAATGCACATGTTAGTTCACAGTGCCAGTTTGTGTGCCTGTAACAATTTGAGAACCACTGAATGGATTCCCTTAAAGTCTGATACTGATTTTCGAAATTTATGGGCACATTCCAGCTGGTTAAAACTGTGCAATAATAAGAGACACTTTGCATATTTGTATACTTCAGCATAACTCTCTAATCAAAAACAAAAACTCCATGGTTTTAGACCACAAGCAAACTATACCGACCGAGTGACCACCACTTGTCAGCGAAGTTAGTGCCAACATTAGCGGGTAGAGGGTGTCACATGATCAGTGCAGTGAATCCCCATGACTGTTAATTTCAGTTTTCTAGACCTGAGCCGCTATATCCTTGAAATAGCTCTTCAGTTATCCTCACGAGGCTGAGTGGACCCCGTTCCCATAACTCTCTAATATTGGAGTGAAAAATGTATCAAACAAAGATTGTGGGGAAAATGAGACATTTTTTACTCAGTACACTCAGGTTGTGTTATATGGTTTTTGAATAAATAGAGGAAGCAAACATGCCAGAATTATTTGCTTTGCATTCATCCCCCTCCCCCTTTAAGTGTGGTATTTAATGACACTCATTTTTGAGACTATATAGCATGAATGAAAGGATGGCTAATGAATATGGAGCAGCTGGTGGAATGAGAATTAGCAGGTGAAATTGAAGTACTCACAGACAGCCTGCCCCATTGCCACTTTGTCTACCACACATCCCACATGACCTGACTAGGGTTCAAACCCAGGCCACCAAAATGGGAAGCTGGTGGCAGTCTTAGCTCTGGCACTGGTCCTAGTTGGTTAAGTTGTGTGATGAATGGAGCAGTATATTTCCTCTTGGGTGGTTCTTATTTCAGCCAGCAGGCTCTCTATGAATTGTTCCATCATCATAGTATGGCGGTAAAACAATCGAATATAGTTTCCAAACCAACCACTTCTGACGCCACTAGTCATGTGTATGAGTGACTGTAGATGGGGCTTGGATTGGTAATTGCATTTTTTGAACACCTACATATAACTATGAATAACTATAGTGCTGTTACTAATTCACACACACTACAATTCACTACATCATGCACTAAGTCTTCCCAGTCTGCTGTTATCTTCACATATTGTCACCTGGTAATGGCTTCCAAAGCCATAGCTTCCTCAACACCTGTGTTAATGTCCTTTTATGGGATGAATGTCTCACAACTGACTCCCAGGCTGGCAGCCATTTCACACCAGCCTCCTACTCATCACTGCCATCCCAAGACAAGGCTCGTAATCATAGTTGTTCATAAAACCTGTGGAATTCTGCTTTCCAGTTTTTGACATAGCAAGCAGATGGCTGCTTTTCAAGCCATGGGAATTATTATAAATGTTGCATTCACTTCTTATTATTGGTATTATTTTCTAGCTGAGCTGACAGCAAGGCCTACTGATGTTTCTCTGCGTGTGCGTTTGCTGAGACTGTACCTGGATACAGAAAGACTGACAGATGCTTACAATCATGCAGTTGAGGTGGAACTTCGTTCTATGCCATGTTTTAGAGATCAGCTTCAGTGGTATGACTGCCTCATTGACGTTTTTGAGGTATGTGTACTGACATTTTATCCATTAGTTAAATTGAAATGAAAATGGTATGTCACCAGTGCCAAGCTTCACAGAGTGGTATTATGGTTGTATATGTTCATGATTTTTATGATGAAATAAAATCAGTAACAGAAATTTCTGTTTGGGACTGTCTCTGTTGTATTGTGATCAGGTGTATATTTTTAAAGTAAAATATTGTGGCGTATTGACTCTGTGCAGGAACTGTGACGAAATGACGGGTTATAGTTCGGATGATTGGATTTATTGACAGCCTCGTTACACACACTCTCTTGTTTACACTCTAATACAGCTTTATCGCTGACTTGCATACACCTTATAATCCACTGCACCGTCGCACACACTATTCTTCTAAATCACTTGGCATTCCTGGTTCCACTGCGCTTGCTTCCACCACTCTCAAATACTCCCAAATATTGACTAATACTCAATACTGCCTGAATAGTGTTTGCTGCTCCTTATATAGGCTCAGCATGGACCACATAGAAAACACATTGCTGCTCAGCAGCAGATCTCAGGTATTATTGTCAGGCGTGTCTACCCATGCATTGCCTGGCAATGGACGCCCTACTGTTGCATGACATCACAGCCTACCGGGGAGGGGTGTTTACCAAGCGTTGTGCAGTAATGGGATGAGTGGGGATATGTGATGTCACTCGCACTTTCTGTTGCGCTATTCAAGCATTCACAGAGTTGTCGCATAGCAATGCGCCGATACAATCTGCAACTCTCCTGATGCGCGCATGCCCTGAGGTGTCTGTGGCTCAACAGTTCCTGCATAGAGGCAATACACCACAATATGTATAAGAATTATGTCACTGTTGACACAACAAATACAATTTTATTTTTGATCTTATACTAGTGCATGTTTCGGTCACATAAGACCATCATCAGGCAGTTGTACACAGGAATACATAGTCATTGAAAATATCGATATGGGTCCTTATCAGTGCATCACATCATGTTATGTACTCACATAAAACTCTTGCCTCGAGTTTATGTTATAATAAAGTAGCAAATACATAAAATAAGGGTATATCATATATAAAATTATAATATGTTGAAATGCTATAAAAATATTAAAGGTATATTAAAAAATGTGAAAGGTTTCCAATGATAGGTTGAGAAGTGTATGCCAACTTAAATATTGTAACGTGTTTTGCTACTGATGACACTGTTCAGATTGTTAATTGGTTTATTTAATAACCTACAAATCGTAACTACAATTAATTTATAACACAGTTGCGGGTTTACCCAATTTATAAACCCTGCACAATAATCTATTCACTCTGTCTTCAGTAGTCTTCACATATTTATAACGCGGGAGCTATACAAGTCTCTCCCAGTATAACTGTACTACAGCACACACAGAGTCTTTTAAGTTACACAATAAGTCTTCACTGGCTTACTTCTCAATTATCGCGCACTAGCAGAGATTATCACATCAAATCTTCTAACCATGTGTTCAGGTCTTCTTCCCGCGACTGCTGCTATATTTCAACTGTAGCACCTGCTACATTTTAACTGACTCCTTAGCCATTGCAATTCTCTTATAAACCCTCAGCCAGACAACGAGAAAACAACTCGCTTCCTTGTTGCCTAGTCCCCGTGTTTACAGGTGTTGCTGGCAACGCTATCGAGAGTTCTTTATTTCTGCATAACAACCGTGGCATCCCTTGTTACGTCGCCGTGGCAATGGTTGCCTGGCGCAGCCACTCCTCTGCCACGTCACTGCAGGGGAGGGGTTGTTTACCGAGTGTAGCGCACTGATGGATGGAGTGGGGCTATGTGACGTCACTCAAGGAAATGCGGAGTTCATGTGACCCCCACTTCCCATTGCGCCATCCATATCACACTGCTCCTTTCTAAAAGTTGTTCATCCCGAACAGCCTAATGGTGCATCCACATTCCTTTTTCTTCCTGTTGCTGTGCTCTCCAACTGCTACATCCGCTCCTCGTCTAAGACCAGCTCGTCTCGAGCAGTTTCCTGCTAACATGCCCGAAGATCCAGTTGTATCACATTTGCTCCTCACTGTCATCCATCTCTCATTCACTCTCTTTGGGGAGGCCGGTGCTTCTAATTTACCGGCTCCTCTTCTGTGCTCTGCTTCTTTATTGTTTTGGAGGGGATCGACCCCTCCACAAGGTCCAATCCTTGGTCATGTGTTTCTTAAGAAGTTCCCTTTGTGGACGTAACAGTGTGGCCTGCACTCGCTGACGTCGTCATTCCTCCTGGTTTCACTGCTACGGTGTAGAAATTAGTCATGTATGTGTTTGTTAAGGTCTTATTGTAGAATTGTGATTTCTATGTAGTAAGTCTGGTTGTGAAGCCCAACAACAAGTTTTTATGATGTGCAGGTTGTAGTGTGTGGATATTAGTATGCTTTTCACATGATATTTATCTTTATATGATCATACAGTATGGTGTATGTGTTCCTTTTCTGGGCGTGTATACATTCTGTGTGTTCTGCACTATGTTGTGGTTCGATGTAGTAAAGTGAAATACCCATTGTCATTGACTGTCAGTGGACACGAGAAAACTAAATTATGTGTGGACAGATTACTGTCAGTTTCATTATTGGCCCTCCATTGTTAAATTTGTTGGTGAAGTGTATTTTTGTCATTATTGGACAATTTTTATTACCTCTTTAACTAAGAATTCTGGTTTGAAATAGCAAAGAAAAATAATGTACTTTATGTAGATTTTGATTACATTATGAAATATTAATCCTTTGTGGTCCCAATTAAATACCACAACAGCTCTCTGCTGGTCTATTTAAATACCACTAATCTATTTAATTGCAACTACTATTATGATTTGTTCATTTTTCTTTATAACTTGCATAAAATGGAAGAAACATTGCCAAGTGTGATGGAAATATGGTCTGAAAGGATCACAGTTCTTACTGTTCAAAATATTTCATACAGACAGTACTGATGTCACTAATGATAATGTAAAAAGAATGGTGCCATTCTGTCTGTCCGTCATTCTACAGAGAATGAAACTAAACCCAGTCTTTGAATATGAGTTTGGCAATGTCTTAAACATCTCATGTTATATTCAGATGTATGAGATATAAGCATTTGATTTCATGATCTCCAAGCTATGTTTGTTTTCATACATTCACCATGGGGTCAGCACTATAAAATGAAACAGGACAAAGTGTAAAGGATGAAAGATATAGCCACTGAATATACAAGAGATTTGCAGAAAGTTTCCACACTTTTATATTTTCAAAGAAAATGGAAGGATTGGGGGGTGGTTATTGTAAGGTGTTATGTGATGAGTTAGCAGGACAAGCCTGATGACCTTGAAGTTAGTGTGAGAGTGTATGAAGCAGAGAAACTTGAGTATTGCACCAAGGAGGAGCAGCGAACTGTGATACATTTCTTGTGGGCAGTTGTCCAACCACACAGAATGTAGGAGCTATAGAACTGATTCTTCAAAACAGAAGAATGACGGTCAATGAAATTGCAAAACAATTAACTATCAGCTTTGGGTCTGCCTATTTTGTGATGCCTGATAACCTTCAGTTCCATAAAGTGTGTGTCAGGAGGGTACCCACAGAACTGATAGACGAGCATAAGTGTATGCCACATTTGTTCCCACCACTTGGTTCATTATCATGAAGAAGTTCGCAGCTTTCAGCAACAGATCATCACAGGTGATGAAACCTGAGTTCACCAATATCAAGCAGAAGAGCATGCAATGGAAGCATCCATCATCTGTTGCAAAAAAAAATCAAGATTTAGGCTTGACGTTGATCATCTTCTTGGGTAGCGGTCCATGTGATTTGTGTTTACTGTTGGTCAGTGTCGGTTCCTTGGCTATATAAGTGACCAGAACTCCTAAGCTGGCAGTTATGAGAGAAATGTAATGATGGAAACATGCGAGTGAATGAATTGGAACCAGAAGTGACAGTGGCTGTGAGTGACGGAGTTCTCAGTAGGAGACAGCCATGGGAAGTTTGTATTTGAAGAAGAGTTAACTTGTGAATTGAAGACTTTATGTCTGCTATAGTGTGGTGGGATTGGGAGTGTGTAATTTAGTGAGACCATTTTAGTTCCTGTGTCTTAATTGTGGTACCAGGAGAGGACAAGTGTGTGTGTGCGTGTGTGTAAATCAGCGATAGCACTGTATGTAAGTGTAATTAAGAGAGAATGTGTAACCGGAGTGCTAATAAATCCAATCATCTGAATTAGAACCTGTCATTTTGTCATTTTTGTCTGATATTTTGGTGTCAGAAATTGGCAGCTCGGATCGCATTGGATTCTTCAGTAGTGGTTATGAACATAAATACACGACAGTTTGGTGTCAGTAGCCATGCAGCCACAAACACACAACAATATATATTGGTTTTTACCATCAACACAAGAACTCTACCATATAATTCACTCACACTTTTAATAAAAATTATATAAAATTGATAATTAAGTTTTCCATCATGTTTCATGATTTTCACGAACTGTTTTACATAATTGAATACTAACTATCCCCAGGAGGTGAAATTTGTAGAACATGTTGAAATAAATCTGGTAATGTACCATTTGTGAAATTTGTTTGAAGTGCACTTGACTTGTGTTACATAGTTAGAGAACTTTTATTGTGAAGTTGATTAAATATGTTGTTGAGTTTTTCATCAAGTAGAATCACTTTTGATAAATGCAGCATATAAATTGTTCCCATCTTATGTAGTCTGAATACTTGTTCAAATTATTTGAAATTCTTGCCATATGAATCCATTGTGGAATTATTTGTTCGTTTTAGACTTACCAAGAAGAGAATCGGGAAAAGTGTAACTGGGAATTCCATTTGCATTATGTGGCTGTATTGGAGAGAGCTACTTGTCTCAGCCTTCAAGAACATCAAGCAGGTGTTCGTCGTAGCATTGCTGATTGTGTGCAGGCATTATTCAGGTAATGATTGATTATAATCTGTTGTTTTGGAGGAAATATGAACTTTGTGAACATGTCTGAAATTGAGCAGAACCATACTTATTTAAAATGTTTCTGTAGAATAAAGTCAAAGTAATCACTGTTGTAGGTATCATTCTGGAAACTTTGTACATTGTTCATTTTATTGTTTTTAGCTTTGACAAAGCATTACACCAGGCATCCAGTCTGGCATCCCCTCCAAGTGAGCGGGAATTGTACCAGGAATTCCTTAAACATGCTAGAGGTCAACTGTGCCTCCATCTTGCAACACTGGTGCTAAAGAAAGCAAAGAAGGTAATTTTGTAGAATACTACATAAATATTAAGTTACAACTTTGGCTATATTTTGACAAAAAGTTACCGATAAATTAAAAATACATATTTGCATGTTACTCATGGCGAAAAGTGGTAAGACAATAATGTGAATTGAATAGTAAGGAAAGAACAGAATACCTACCACATTAAGAAGCTAGACATATTGCTGATATAAGATGGAGTAAGATATTTCATACTAAACTTTTAAACTTGAGAAACTTGAAGTATGTTGTAATTTTTGCACACATGATGAAACCCCTATTTAAGGTTTCTGGGGGGTAGACCAGTGGGTGGGAATGCCAAACAGAGGAAAATCTTAGAAAAGGTAAGGATAAAGTTGTCCCTGTGCCTGTACACCATGTAAACATATGGGGAGTGGAAGTATAGCTTCGCCATTCTTTACCTCAGCACTAGATGCAGGTGAGTAGTCTGCTTTGTCCCCCGGGAAAGATCCCCCAGTACTCATTGGATAGGAGGCTGGATGGGCCCTTGAGCCAGTCTGGATTCTGTATAGTAGAGAAAATTTTCTTGTCCCTGCCAGGAATCGAACCCCGGCCATCCAGCCCGTAACCTGTTGCTGTACCTCGTGCTGTCCTGGCTCTTGAGGGAAATCTGAAATGGAAGTAATTTAATGCTGAGTTTATTGGCTAGGGATCATTGAAATTGAACATTAAATTGGGGTTTCACTGTATTATGTTGGACATTATCCATTTATAGGCAGCATTTATATTCTGCTACCACCAAGTATCATCAATGTGAGATGACAGTACAAACTGCAGAGTCATCTGTTGACTTCAAATATCAGTGAGATCTAAGAGTAGAACACTGCTAATAAAAATTATGAAAGAAACCACAGTAAAACGAGACTGAAATCCCCTTGTAAGTATTGCTAAAAATCTGCCGCTCACTAGAAACACACAAATTGAGAGGATTCAAATAGGACTATATGACAGTGGTTGTTGTAACTCTGTTACATATTCAATAAATTCATAGCTGTAGTAAGGGTAGCTATATAGAGCTCACATGTGGGCTTGGTTGGCTGATGAGCTGTTCTCAAGATCTGATGAATACTGACTCTTTCCATTTCATAACCTATTTTATTCTTTGTGGACAGTTTTTTCTTACTCCTTTATATTACAAGTTCCTCACACCAGGAGTTTTGTTTTTGAGTTGGAAGTTTCTACCATTTTGGTGTTGCATTTATACTTGGTGGGTCTGGTTTTAATTGATCTGCCTGCCTCTCCTCTTCTGGCTTATATGCATGGGATGCATTATATAAAGTTCTTTGTTTCTTGTATATCATTTCTTGGTTTTGTTCTTGACTGTTGCATAGCAGAACAAAATTAAGAATGAGATGCAGGAAACAAACAGTTACACACACAACATCCCATGCAAATGTGGAAAGAAATATAGAACTTCTCTTTCCTCACAGGAGAACCCTTACCTCTACTTTGTTTTGCCTGATATTTTTAAGCTGAAGCATCTATTAAAATAATGGCTTTAATGCTGTTAACATTACGTACTCTCTTGCCTTGCATGAATTGAGTACACCATGTGTTGAGATTGTATAGGCATGAACTTCTGAAACATAAATAGAATAGTGACATAATGAATACCAGGAATACAACATGCCTACAGAAATAGAAGGATGAGTATGTATCATACATTTGTATTTCTTACCAGTGATGAAACATCGAGTAAAAAATAATAATGTACCTCAGGGCAGAGCTGCTACAATATCCAACCAAGCATAAGGTGATTGTTCAACAGAGGGGTAAATAAATTGACTCAGATAGTTGTGGGAGGTAGTAACTTATGAAATGTGGTGAAACTTAAAAAAGTCTGGAGATGAAAAGGAAATGGTCTCAAGACTGGATTCAGATAATGGAATGAAAATTTAGCTTAGATTATAATTGATAAAATAGAAGAATTTAAGAAATACTGGCAGCAAGAATTATGGCCATAGCAGAGAGAACAGTACATCAAATCAGATGAGAGATGTGAAGCAATTTGGTATCAGTACTCAAAAATGATGTAACCTACAAGAAACTTGCTTGATTGCTAGAATATTGAATAGCAGACCATGTTAATGTAATCCCATAAAGAAGGAATCATGGTTGAAACTACCTCCAAGTTGTATACAGTGAAAAGAGAGTAGTGTTAATTTAGTAGTCTAACAGTGGGTACACACAACCAGTAGCCAAAGAATTATGTATTGGGTCAAAGAGATAAAAGAATAATAAGGCTCCTTGGAAAAGTGAGCTGAATAACGTTCAGATATGCTGGTGATTTTTTTCACAAAAGATTTCTGTATTTCCTGAATATTGCCTCGTATGATGAGACACTCCCAGGAAGTTTGTAGAATGGTGGTGTGATACTAACACACAGAAAGAAGAAAGTTGGAGGTATTAGCTTATTGAATGCTGGCTTTTACATTTTTTTCAGTCTTACTAAAAGTAAGTTACAGAATACTGTGCTAATGAAACTGGAGAGCAAACTAGATTCTGCAGAGGAGGATCTTGCAGTGATGGGTATTCTTTACATAACTGATGGTTGAAAATGGAGAATTCAGTATTGAAATTCATCTGGCGTTAGGAGATTACAAAAAGAAAGCATTTGATGAAGTTAATAGGAACAGATTACAGTGAATCTTCAGTTTTATGGTTCAAGAATTTACGTGTTTCATGAATTTACACTCACTTTGTTCTTAATAGTAATGCTAATGGCCGCGCCATAGCTCAAGCGGTTAGTCACTGGCTTCCCACTGCGGCGGCCCAGGTTCAATCTCGGATCTGGTCAGGTGGGATTTGTGGTGGACAAAGTGGCTCTGGGGCAGGTTTTCTCCGAGTACTTCGGTTTCCCCTGCCAATCTTCATTCCACCAATTGCTCCACAATCACCCTCACCTATCATCTGTGGCTGGTACAATAGGCCAGAAGTGGCCGCAGTGCAAGGGACGTAGTCCCACTCCACTAGCAACAAAAAAAATAATGGTACTTCTAAACTTTAATGCATATTATGTTTCCTCAATTTCACATTTTCGTCAAATTTGTACTCCATTTTTCTACTCCTGACTATGAAAATTCACCAGAGTTAACTTTTTGTAGTTCCCTTCTCGGAATTTCTTATTGGAGGAACCAAATTTGTTCCCTGATAGCAGTTGCAAATGGTACAGCCTAAAATTACATACTGCCAGTTGGCTGATGGACAGCTGCAAGTGATTTGCATGCACCAGGTGACTTCACTAAGGCCTTTTATGCTTCAAGGAATTTTTCTGCCATTGTAGTCCAAGCAGCTTACAGATTAAGTCAGCTTTGATCGTGTTGTGGATCAGTATAACTATAACTCAGAGAGAGCAGTGTGTATTTCTCATGTATGATAAGTGTTTAAAAAAATGACCACTGCAACACGGCGTGTTTTCGTAAGTGGACCATTCAACCGAAATGCACCTGAGTTAAATTCTTTAATCTCCCAGTTCCCATGTGACTTCATTTTGTAGTGACCAAATGTTATTGGTAAGACAAATTTGACAGCAGAAGGATGACATATGGATAACAGAAGAAAAAAATAATTCAAAGTGATAAAATACATATTTTAGTGCAAGTTGATGCACATATTGGCTCACGTGTTCACCCGGCATTATGCTTGAGACTTTCTTTGTCTTCATTAAACACTTGTGAATAACTGTGAATATACTGAAAGATGATATGTGTAGTGTGGGCCTTTCTGCATGCAGCGATAATAACTGAAATATTTTCCACTGGAGGAACTGGAAACTGTTCAAGCGAGCAAGTGAGACTTATTCTTCCATAGATGAACCCACCTTAAGGTGAAGGCTTTGCAAATTACCACTCATCTGGGAATAGCCAACTTTTCAGCATCCAATGGATGGTTCATCAGATTTAAAAGGAGACACAACATTATTTACAGAACTCTGTCACGTGAGAGCAGGAGTGTTATTCCAGAAACTATATAAGACTGGAAAGATTACCAACTATTGCAAGAAATTGAAGGTTATGACCTCTTGGATATAGATGTTGATGATCCTCGTCTGTTTTTCAATATGCATTATAGCAAAACCTTCACATTTTGAGGAGATTTTAACCACAGTGGTTTGAACTCTAAACATTGCGGTACTGTACTCCTCATGTGCAGTGCTGATGGGAGTGACAACCTGCTGCCTCTCGTAACTGGAAAACACGAAAGTCGACGTTGCTCCAAGAATGTCAATAGACTGCCTACAAAATATGAAACTAATAACATATTCTTGGATGACCACCGAAATATTTGAAGATTACATCACATGACTAGATAGTAAACTGAATGCTAAAAATTGTAAAACTTGCTTTTCGTTGATCAGTGTACTGCCCATCTGAAGAACACCACATTTCTCACAATTTCAAATTGTATTTCCCCAATTAGCTGTACTAGCCAGCTACGGCCTCTGTATTTGAGCCTTAGTAGGTGGGGAACTGCTGCAAGATAAGCTGGATGTGTTGTCTGCATTGCATTTCATAGCAGACACCTAAAGACTGATAACACCCACTACAATCAAGAATGGTACCTCAAAACATACTATGACCACTTCATCCTCATCATTTCCGTTCATTGGTTATAATCACCAACTCATCTTACTGATGCCACATAAAAACAGCAGTCCATAAGGTGTCATAAAATAAACAAAGAACCATATTTGCCTCTAGGTTCATATACATAGTTAAGTGTACAAAGGTATATTTTAAATTATTTGCAGAAATTATGGTTATTTCCCTGATTTTACACTTATTTAAGGCTGTCCCTTAAAAAGTGTAAAATCAGGGTTTCACTGTAATTGGAATTTTGTAGAATGAAGTGGGTCCTTGATGGAGGAGATGGCTTCCAGGTATGGAGGGTAGCTGTGAATATATTAAGTAGTCATGGATAGCCAAAAAGGGGTGGTCCTCCGGCCAGGAGGTTGCATGTGGGGCTAACAAAAAAAGACAGTTTGCTATGAAATGGTGCACACTGCCTTTGAGTTTTTCCAAATAATTATGCCATGAAGATGTCCAGATCTGTCAGGCCTGTTGGCCCAACTTTATGTCTCAGCATTTAATGAGCCATGTATAGATTTTGTATATTGTATATAGTGTTCTGTGTTTTTAGCCCAGAGGAGAAATGGAGGTAGAAAATGACCATGTGTGTTGGATGATTCCAGATCATTGTTGCAGTACAATGATACCTGAATAGCTAGATTAATAATGTAATATAGTGTGGTTGTGTACATGGTGATTCTGAGTCCTGTAGCCAATCTTTAGGAGGTCATTGAGGAGATAATTTGGACAGAAAATATAAACAAAGAATTGTCTGATATGTAGACTTTTCTGAGTAAACAGGATTTAAAACTTATAGTCTTGATTTTTTTGTATGTCCATATGGTGGAGCCTTGACAGCAGCACAAGATAATGCTCATACTGCATTCACTTATGGCTCTCATTACTTCTGACAGCACAGTAGTGATAGCACTGAAATGAGGTGGCACCATTTACTGATGTGGAGCATGCTCATAAGCATTTCATGTACAGTTTTCATGATGGAAATGCCAGAACTGCATTGAGGGGATATCGATGTTATTATCAAGATTGGAGGCATCCCAACAGACAGCATATATGAGGGGTACCCAAAAGAAACCAAACTTATCTTTTTTTAAACTTATTTATTCAAATTTTAAGCACAAACCTTCAATCCCCTTCAAAGTACTCTCCACTTACACTAATACACTTGTCTAGTCTTTTATTCCATTTTTCAAAACATTGTCTAAATTCATCTTTTGAGATGCTTGACAGCGCCTCCGTCGTTTTTTCCTTTCATGTCTTTTCATTCGAGGAAAAAAAAAGTCGCACGGGGCAAGGTCGGGTGAGTATGGAGGGTGAGGAACAGGGGTCATACCATTTTTGGTCAAGAATTGTCATACAGACAGGGCTGTGTGAGCAGGGGCATTGTCATGATGGAAAAACCAGTCACCCGACTGCCACAAATCTGGCCGCTGAGCTCCAAGTCACTCCCGACAGCTCCACAATTTCTTCAATGGTCCGTCATCGATCTTCCTTGATGATTTCACGAATTTTTTCAACATTTTCATGTGTTCGGGCCGTGGAAGGACGACCAGAACGAGGTTTGTCATCAATTGACATTTCACCATTTTTGAAATGGGAAAACCACTCAAACACTTGAGTTTTCCCCATAGCATCGTCCTTGTACGCCGTTTTTAACATTTCAAGAGTTTCTGTTCCACTTTTCCCAAGCAAAAAGCAGAATTTCACCGCCGCACGCTGTTCACGAAAATCAGCCATTGCAAAAACGATGATCACAAAACAGTTGTCACTATAAACTCTGCTGAAACTAGTCCTTACCTTCTGAAGCAACGGTAATCGGCTTATCGACTCAGGAATGTTAGCTCTATGCGCTCATAGCGGCAAAACGCGGTATTACAAAAGCTCTGCCCACAAAAAAATTAGTTCGGTCTCTTTTGGGTACCCCACTGTATTGACTGCAACAGACACAATATACATAATGAGCAAGTGTTAGATGCTGTCCATGGTAATCCTTTGACTAGCACTTGTTGATTTGCATATAAGACAGGCCTGACGACCTGACTCATAGTGCATTTTGTCATATACCATACAAGCAGTGGCCATAAGTGGCCTCTACACAGCTTTTTTGGTGAATCTACCATTTTGTGCCATGAACTTTTTACTGTCATACACTTCAATAAAATTGTCATATTTTTCAGTCTGTTTTGTATACTGACATTTCTTCCTTGGTGTTCTTAAAATGCCATTTCATTGGTATATGAACACTGCTTGCATTCACAGCTGGATTTACACAAGTTTGATTCATGATACCTTTAATTGCTACTGAATAATTGCTTGAACTTAATTCTGTGAAACAGTGCAATATCATATTTTCTGCCACGTTTTAGTGATTTCCCACTCATATTTATGCAGCACTGATGGATCATCTTCAGCTTTCATTATGAGAAAGCTACATTCATAGATTGATCCAGAATAATGACTGCATGTCGTCACTGTATATACACCATAGCTGGATAAATCACAATTTACAAGTGGTATGGTACCCACTTGACTTCCTTCGCTAGATCTGGACAGTTGATGTAAAAATTATCAGTGATACTTAAAATAAATGCACGAATGTTCTGTGAAAGTCATAAACTTACACCGTACATTATACAGTTACCTGTACAGTTAAGTAGTAAGTATACCACAGCAGTGAAATTGAAATAAATTAACTATTTTGTATGAATGCGTGTTAATATGAAATTATAATATGCACTCTGACCATTCCTGAATCATGTGATGTGGCAGAGAGCAATTATCCTGTCTCTCTGTTTACATCTAGATTGTTCTTCAATGAAACTGATAATACATAGGTAGGCTGAAAAGTAATGCACACATGCTTGCAGAGCGCGAACGAAATGACCTTCAGAAGCGCGCCAGGTGGCATGTGGAAGTAACATTCCCCCTCAATACGCATGCACAGGTTTGAGGTCGTTGCGTTCATCCAGTGTATTTCGAGAAGCGGAAGTATGGAGACGTGTTCTAGTGCTATGTCAACGCGAGTTAAACTGTGTGCTGTTATCGAATTTTTAACTGCTGAAAAAGTGACTCCTACTGAGATTCATCGTCGTTTAAAGGCTGTTTATGGTGACGATGCTGTTGATAGGTCTACTGTAAATCGATGGGTAATAAAATTTCGTGGTTGCGAGCCTGGAAAAGCCATAAATGTTGATGAAACACGCAGCGGACGTCCAATCACTGCCACAGACGATAATCATCGCAAACTCGTCGACAATTTGATTCAAAATGACCGGCGAATCACTCAAAAGTGTATCACAAACCATATTGGAATATACAAGGAACACGTCGGCTTCATTATTGAACAATTGGGATACCGTAAAATCTGTGCACGATGGGTACCATGCCATCTCACAGACGAGAACAAACAGTGTCGATTGGAATGCTGCGAGCAACTTTTGCAGCGCTACCGTGACGAAGGAGGCAACTTTCTTTTGAATATTGTGACGGGGGACCAATCATGGGTCCATTGTTACGACCCGGAAGAGAAAATACAGAGCGCTGAATATTGACATCCGTCATCTCCTCAGGCGAAAAAGTTCAAAACACAACCATCCGCCAAAAAACTTCTTTTGACTGTGTTTTGGGATGCTCACCGAGTTTATGTGACCGATTTTCTGGAACAAGGGGCAACGGTAAATACTTCTCAGTACATACAGACTCTAAAACACCTCCGGCGTCAAGTTTGTCATGTTAGAGGCAGCCTGGCGCCAATAATCTTGCAACATGACAACACTCGTCCACACCTCGCGCGCAACTGAAGAGGCTCTGTGAAACCTGAAGTTTGAACCGATTCCACACCCTCCTTATTCCCCCGATCTTGTGCCTTGCGATTTTTATTTTTTCCCTCTACTCAAGAGAGACCTCAAGGGTAATCATTACACCTCGGACGATGAGGTGAAGGCAGCTGTCAAGTCCTGGATTCGAGAAAAGTCGGAAGAATTTTTCAGTGACAGAATGAAATAACTTGTTACACGTTGGGAGAAATGTGTTAGCCTTAATGGTGACTATGTTGAAAAATAAATATATGCTTTTGAAACTTAAGAATTGTTCTTTAATGTATTTTTTGCCCGATCTTGCTATTTGTTTTTGTTCGCGCTCTACAAGCATGTGTGCATTACTTTTCAGCCTACCCACATAGTAGGGGTCATTTTTTGTGTTATGCAGGAGTTTTTTCATTGGTCTGTACATTGTGTCTCAGTGCAGCCTCTGGGAAATTTTGCCCACCTCTGGTATATTACACCTATACTGCTGTAACTATACAGTTGCGGCTCATTTCGCAGATTATTTTTTCTTTGCATTGACAGTAAGAATTCAAGTAAGCTTTAGATATCCTCATGTTGCCATTGTCTTGTGATCAGGAAAGCATTGAAATCCTTGTTGCTCTTACATTCAGCATTCTTGGAAGTTAGTGCTATGAAGTGTATGGAAGGATGTGTGTGTGCATCTCCAGCTTCTCACAGATTTTTGTAATTTATATTTGATGTGTAAAATACTTAGTCTTACACTGCAGTGAAAAGTTAATTCTGTTATATCTGTTCTGATTAAACATGTGTTGGATTTAAATTAAAAAAAAAATTATTTAGGAAAATGGAAACTGGCGTGAGGCTTGCCGAGTCTCTTCTCCCCTTCTCCTTCTTGCATTGTCTTCACCAATAGACATGCAATCCACATGGCTGCTTCAGGCTACCGAAACTCGGAAGAAGAGTGTGGACCTGTGGGCAAAGGAAGCTGCATACAGAAATAGCCAAGCTGGTAACCATTTGTTATTTAATTTTCAAGAAGTGCTTTTAAAGTTTAAGATGTCTGCCCATTTGCTAGTCTGGTGTCATACTATCATTGAAGATTTGGGTTGGGTTGAGTCAGGGGGTTCAATTTTAATTGGAGCGATGTGCTAACTTTTTGGTGTAGTAAATTTTATTCTATTTTGGGGTATAGAAAATGATGAAATGGATGTTGAATTAAAAAATTTGTTAGTTTTGGTACTTCTGCACTGTCATACTGCAGCATCATTACACCACATTAGAAGCTGAATATAAGGAGTAAAGCTCATAATGAGAAGTTCACTGTTTAAAGGATTTTTTATGCACCTGCAGTTAATTATACATTATTTATTAACCCTTGAAATCTGGCTGTAGTTTATATACCACATTGCTTGTCTCACCAGGAAACAGACTGTGGTACATGTACCAGTGTAATTTTAGAAATCTACAGTAAGAAAATTACCTTTCATATTGACACAGAAGTTTCACCTCTTGGCAGCTCAGAGCTTGTATTTCTGGGGTTCACCAGTAGAGGCCTCTGCATAATAGCAGTGTGAACTACTAGGCCTCAGTTTGTGTGTTCTGTCACTTTGCCAGTGAGTGCCCCGCCCTATATTTGTTTAATATACTCATGTTCAAACACCAGTCGAGGTCAAGGAGAGATTACATACTGTCCTAATATTAGTTTGCCTCACACTTGCATGATCTAGAATCAGTGTTTTTTTTTTTTTTTT